GCTAAGCCCAGAGTAGCCCCTCCCCCATTTCACAGTGCTGAGCTCAGCAAGGCCCCTTCCTGTGCAGACTCTCACTCAGGCTCTAGCTGGTGAGTCACGGTGAAGGCCTGCCTGTGGCTGCAGGAATGGTGGTAGGAATTACTCCAGTTGGTTCAGGCCTGGGGCCCCCAGGCAAAGCTTTAGGAGCGCCCAGTCCCTCAGGCTCCACTACCCTTCTGAGAAGGCAACAGGGCCCGAACCTCCAGCTCTCTAATTCACAGAAGTCTAAACATTCCAGGAAAGGGTGTGCAGGGTGTGGGGAGGAAGAGAGAAGGGAGGCCTTAGGCCCTGACATGGACCCAGGAGTGTGGCTCCAACCTCTCCCAGGCAGTCAGATAAACAGGCAAAAGAGCAGAGTAGAAAGGCCCCAGCTCTGACAGACTACACTTCAGTGACCCAAGCTGCTTATTAGTTATTTTTGACCACCTCTCTTTTAAAAAGAGAGGCTCCCTCTCAGCTCCCAAGTGCAATGAAAATACAGGGGTGTGGGGGAATGGGGTGGGTGCAGGTTCATAAAAATCAAGAGATCCTTCCAGCCGAAATTCTGTGATTCCAGACCCACAGCATAATTCGCTTCTGACCCGAGTGCCGATAAACGAGGGGTTAGAATCCCTGAATTATCCAAATTATTTGGGTCAAACTAATTTAGACTGTTTGCAGTGAGAAAAAGGGTTAATTTAGTTCTAGATTTCCTGGATTAGCCCTGGTGTTAATTTCACAGGGGGCAGTTTAGCACACTTTTCTAAACTGGAAAATAAAGCCTATTACTGTGGCAGTCAAGGTCTCCCAGACTGCGTGAGAAGTCTCTCAAGGTGGTGGACACATCCCATTCCTCAGTCCCAAGGAGACTGGGAGAGGAAGTGCAAAATGGAGGTAGAGCCCTGGGCAAAGAACCAAGTTCACAGGTATCAAATGGTAGGGAGCTCAGGGCATCAGAGAAGCAGAGGTGGGGCCCAGGAAAGGAATGGCATATTTAGTTAAGGGACAGACTGGCAGCAACAGCCAGGAAGTATACTCAGGTGAGCCCACAGCGGCAACAGGTATGGTGGGGGCACCTGGAGAAGAGAGTTTCCAGTATGTCAAAAGTCAAGGCTTTAAAGAGGAGAAAACGGCAGGGAGAGACTAGTAGTGGTGAATAAGGGAAAGCTGGGTAGACGTAGCTGGCTGTGGCGTGCAGGTGTAGAAGCAGGCGGGGGTGGTGGGCTTCTCGCCCTGGGGAGGAGGACGTCGCGGGTAAAGATGGTTCCAGGGAGTGCGGGGGCTGTCACTCAACTGCGAGGAGGGGTGCCGCAGGGTGGGAAGCTTGTCCTTGCGCCGAGAGGAGGAGGCGCCGCGGGGTAGGGGGTTGTCACGATCCTAGGGAGGGGGGCCGTCGCGGGGCATCCCTGCTCTGGGAGGATTCCAGTAGGGTCCCCTTCTCACGGGAAGCTCCGGGCGGGTCAGGTGGAGGGCACCGCTCAGCGCCCGTCCTGCAACCGCGCCCGGGGCGCCACCACCCCGCCGTCAGCTCCCTCCCGGATCTGAAGGCTGAGGCCACTCCCGGGTGTGGACTGCTTTCCGCGTAGCGCAGTGCACAGAAGAGCAAAGCTGGGCAGCCAGGCAGGCGTCTTCCTTCACCCCGTACGGCCAGATCCCTAACTCACCTGGTGTCCGCAGGCCCCTGCTCAGCCAGCCTGGCCACTCTCCGGATCCCAAGATGTCCGCCCGCCCCCTACTCGCCTGCCCGCTGCCTCGGCTTTCACTGCAGTGCCGCGGCACCGCCCCGACCTCTGCTGCGCGTGCGCATCCGCCGAGGCCGCAGACTACAAATCCCGTCAGGCCTCTCGGCCTTCTCGCTTACAATTATAAGCCCCCGAAGTTTGGCAAAACTACAACTACCGCGGCCTTTGAGAACCTTGGAAGGAGGGGGTAGGCGTGCCTTGGGGGAGGGGTAGGAGTGGCCTTATTCAGCCCTACCCGAAATACACAATCCAGAATACGCTGCTACACTCCTCACTGCATTTTCCCCATTGAGCATTCTGGGAATTGTAGTCTCTGCAATCCCTCCTGTTCCCATTTCAGTGTTTCCGAGAGCCTCAGAGGATTAGTGCTGGCTGTTGAGGCCCGGCTGTTGAGCCTTGAATTGCTGTAGGCCTTTTCAGTCTCCAGAGTCCGAGGACTGGTTGTCCTCACTTTACACACACGCGCGCGCGCGCGCACACACACACACACACACACGACTTGGCAGTAGAAGAGTTTGTACTGTTTACTGCTTTATAACACCACCTCTGATTTTCCCAAGCTTTTTTGCATGATATATTTGTTCTAGACATGAGCCTTTTCCCAGGGATCAAGACCCAAGGTAGGGGGCAGGGTGTGAGGCGGCAAATATTTGGAATTAACTAGCTAAAGCTTTTCAAAAATATGTCTGTTCTACCTCAGCTATACCTATGTGACTGTGAGCTCCTCAAGGCCAGGAGGACCTGTGCGCCTTCTAGTGACAGGCATATATATTGCTTAAAAAACCGTTGGCAAGTTGAATTTAATTTGACATGGGATTTGAAATCCCTTCTCTGATGGACAGTTAATCTTCACATCCAAGCTGAGAAGAGACAGAGCCAATCCTGGCACATGAAAGGCCTTCCTGGCTCTTGCAGGACCTGAAGAACATCTGTTGGCTCTTCTCTTTCTGTAGGAAAAGATACCCTGCTGCCTTCCCTAGGCAGGGCTGAGCCCATCATGAGAGGAACGAAGGTCACCAAACGGTAAACCTAGTCGCAAACCTTACTGTTCCTAGCATCCTCCTGCTAGAAGCCAGAATATGGCAGGATGATCTGACTTCCTGAAAATTGGGGTCACAGCTTTAAGCCATTAAATGACTGAATACAGGCACTTCTAATTCTTGAATCAGCACTCAAGGTTTACTTCTACCTTTCCAAAAGCTTTGTCCTCAGTACATATCCTAAACCCCTACCAATTTAGAATAAATAATAATAATAGTAATAATAATAGCTACCATTTATTGAGCACCTATTCTACTGTGTGCCAGGCACTGTGCTAGGCACTTTTCGTACAATATCTAACTTAAATCCTCACAACAACCCTGTGAGGTAGGTATTATTATCATCATTTTACATATGAGGAAACTGAGGCTCAGAGAGACTGAATAACTCTCTTATCACGCAACCAAAAAGTAGTAGAGCTGGGATTCAAACCCAGAATAACCTGACTCCAAATCCCATGCTCCTGTGAACTAGAGTAGAGGCAGAGGGGAGAGGAAGGGCCAAATTCAAGAAAGATTGTTGGAGTGGAATGGATATGATATACTGACTAGTAAAATATGGGAAGGAATTTAAGCCCATAAATGTTTCTAGCTGGTGAGCCTATGAAGAGTGTGATGAAGGTAACCAGGATTGGAATTCAGAAGGAACACACTTCGGAGGGGGGGGAAGGAAATGAGTTGAGTCCACGTGGACACGTCCATGGAGAGGTCCAGCGGTTAATAAAAATACAGATCTAAAGATAAAGGGAAGTTAGGGCTGGAGATACATATTTGGGAATCACCAGCCTATTAATGGCAGTTGAGGATGTCAGGATGATGATACTGTTTCGGGAGTAAATACAGAGGAAAGAGAAGTGGAACAGAGATAAAATACAGGGACCCTGAAGGCATGAGCAATAGTGGAGGAATCCTCAAGAGAGTCAGAGACGGAAGAATCAGAGGAGGAAGAGAAGTACAGGAGGCAGCCCTATAGTGGTGGCTAGAGGAAACCATGTTCTGGGTTGGGAGCAAACCTAGAGCTCCCAGAAGAAAGGCAAGACTGAGTCACACTTCTAACACAGCCCTCATGCACCCCAAATCCCAGGGAATATTTGTTAAATGAATGAATGCCAAAATACCCCTACCCTGGATTGCTCCAAGACCTGGAGCTTAGGACTTCATCTTACGCTTGACATCCCAGACCTAAAAATATGGAAGCCTAGGTGAGCCAGAATTTATAGAAGAGGCTCACAGAGAAAGTTGTGATTTGCTTAAATGGGAGAATAAGGTAAAAACTAAAACTTGGCACTCTGTCTGGAAGTCCCAGAAGTCAACCTGCCTAACCTTGCTCTGGGTTATCATGGTGATGGTGAAAACACAGGAGGGTGTGTGGGGCACGGGGCAGGGTGAGAACAGCCTGTCAGTTGCCTGGGGGGGTCCTGCGCTGAGCCCAACCTGAGACCCAGATTATGGGCTTTAACCAGATAGAAATATTATGGGGACACGTGTGGGAGGTTTGAGGGCTATGAAGAAAGGGAGAGAGAAATCAGGGGACCAGCCCCATGACCTAGGAGCGGACTGGGAGAGAGGGTCCAGCCCTCTGGTCAGGGACCAGCCCTGAGGCTTAAGTGAACTTGCATAGGCACATGTGTGTTGGGGCAGGGGGTGGGGGAGGTGTGTGTGAGAAAGAGGGAGAGAGGGAAAGAGAGAGAGTCTCTCACACATGGGCGAGAGGCTGGGTGCTCCTCAGAAGCCTAGTGACTCAACGGGTTAAAGTGTGGGTATGGGGGCTGAAATATCCTTGGGAAGCCCTGAGGGGCTGCTGAAGCAGGGCTCCTGGTCTCCTCGGAGGCTGGGCCTCCCCTCGCTGGGGGCTCACAGAAAGTCAAACAGCCCGAAATTCTTGGCTGCTCCAGGCCCAGGAAAAATTGGGGGAGGAAAAAAGAAAGAAAAGAAATGTTTCAGGCCCCGAGGTGAGATGAGCCTACTGGTTAGTAGGGTTAGGGTCTGAAGGAACCAGCACACCGAGCAGGCATGGGGCAGCGGTGGGGCTGGGTATAGAGCACAGATGCTCCCTGGAATCCACTAGCAGCTCAGGCAACTGAGGGGGCCCGCTGGGCTTCTGCTAAGGTTGAGCGCAGGTGGAGTTACTGTGGATGGTTACTGGAGGTGGCTACAGCTCTAGGGTGCGGGGCTGAGGCAGTAGCAAGGGCAGTTAGGAGGAGGGGCAGAGGAAGCAAGTCTTTTTTTTTTTTTTGTATCAGTACTAAGGGGAAAAACCAAGAAATCGGCACGCATGCTTGAGGGGATGGGTTAATAGAGGGATGATGCAGCTGAATGAATGGTGAAAAAGAACTGAGGGAGGGAAAGTGGGGATGAGGGGTATGCAGGCCCTCAAGGGCACCGCTGGGTCAGCTCCTGAAGTCTGTGTGGTGGTGATGGCGGGTGGTAAGGAGCAGCACCAGCAGTTCGGGTCCCAGGGACACGAAGGATCCCGGGAAGTCCTGTGCACCGGTTAGTGGGCAGAGGAACAAGCCGGGGCTGGTGGCAGGTTAGGGGCTGCAGTGGCGATCAGGTGCACCCTGCCCTCGCTGCACCCAGCGAGCGGTTAGCGGGCCTGGATTTAGTTCCATTTATTTCCCTTTCAGGTACCAAAGTAAAAATGACGGACGGACGGAGAAAGGGACGCGGCCTGCCCGGGGCGGGGTGGGATGGAAGTGGGGAAGGGGCCCTGCTCACATCACATCCACAAAGAACTCACTGGGGTTTCCCATGGCCATGCGGAAGGACTGTCTGCTGGCGGTCAGTTCAGGGGGCACGGAGGCCAGGTCGCGGCCCGGAGGGGCTCCCGGGGGCCCCATGGCCGCAGGCGGTGGGGGCATCATCAGCATGGGGGGGCCGTAGAGAGGGGGCACCCCGGGGGGGCCGTAGCTCGGGTGCGTGTGATGGCTGCGCAGGCTGCTGGCCAGCGAGTGGTGGCTGCGGTGGCTGTGCTCGCTGGCGGCAGGACCCGAGCGCTCGCTGGGCGCCCGCTCCCGCGCCCCCCGCAGGCTGCTGCGGGTCGTGTGGTCCGACTCGCTGCCGCTGCCGCCCGACTTCGAGTCCCCGGTCTTCGGGTCCTTCTCCTTCCGCCGGTCGCTGCCGCTACGGTTGGAGCCACTGCTCCGGCTGCCTGCAGGGGACAGGCAGGGACGGGGTGGGGGACACTCAGAGCTTGCAGAGGAAGCCTGGGGCTCGCCTGGAGCTCCCTCCACGACCCCCACCGCCTTACCTTCACTGTGCTGACTGCTGGCGCTGCCCCCGCCATAGCTGTACCCCAGCTCGGGGAAGCCTGGGTGCGGGTTGTAGGGGTGCGGGGGCGGCGGGTACTGGTAAGGGAAAGCCATGGGCCAAGGGGCAGCCCCTGGGTGCGGCAGAGGGGCCAGCGTGTCCTGGTCGGAGGCGCCGCTGGAGCCATCATGATCGTGGAGGGAGAGGTTGGCCATGTCTGTGGAGGGGAGGGGAGGGCGTCTGAGCTGGGTCTATCCCATGCCTTCGCACCTGCAGTCAGCAGAGAGATGCCCAGCCTCGGCCCGGTGGGTGCGTTTGGGAAGACAGTGACAGCAGTGGCAGTGTCCCACCAGAACGGGAGGAGGGACAGGCCAGAGATCTCTCACTCCTTCAGACCCCCTCTGTCACCCTCCAGAGGTGGTGGGGAGGGAGATCCTGCAGAGCCAGCCCCCGAGAAAACCGTCCCCAGGAAGGCCCTGAGTCACCACTTCAGATGCTCAGTGCCAAATCCCAGTTTCTCCTCCTTCCTCCGTGGGCTGGAGGAAGGGGCAAAACTCTTGCTTGGCAATCGCCCTCCCTACTCTGTTCCCTTACGGGAAGGGTAGGATGGGGAATATGGGAGGCTGAAATACCAGACAGCCGCCAGCTACTGCATACCTGCACTTCCTCAGGTACAGTGCAAGCACTTCATCTCACGCAAACGTTACCACCCCATGAGGAAGGTATTAGTCACACTTTTTCCAGATGAGGAAAGTGAAGTCCAGAGAGGTTAAATGACCAGCCTGAGGTCAACCCAAACTGCAGCCAGAGCAGAAGCTAAGAGTTGCTTACTTTACCTTTCCAGATGAGGGCATTAGTAAGGAGGAGGGGGCAGTTTGGGGAAATTTAGCCCTCCTCACTCACTTAGGACTAAAAAAACACCCATTAAAAGCCAGAATGAACACAGGGCCTTTCAGAGCCTCCCCACACAGAAGGCCCTTGGCCCAGATCAATTTTCTGGTGCTTCTGGGGAGGGTGGGAGTGGGGTGGAAGGGTCGAGAAACAGAACAACTTAGATGCCTCCTCTGTGCTCTCCACCCCATTCCCAGCCAGGCCTAGTTCTTCACAGCACTTGAGTCACTGCACTAACATTACTTCTTTCATGACTCTGACTCCCCAGTATGCTGTGCACAGGCAAGGCTGCTCCCACCAATGTTGGAACTATCTGGAAGGGAGTATAAGGGGCCACTAGACCTGCCTGCCTGGGACACCCCTTGTTCACAGGTCCCTGGAGTGAACAGGTCCCTGGTTCTCTGGGACCACCCGTACCAGGTCCCAGAGCTCTGAGAGAGCTGCAATTGCCCAGGAGCCAGCTACTGGATACAGACTGAGCCCTTTGTTGCAAGCCCTTAAGGGAGCTGAGCCAACCTTACAGGGGAGAAGAGGTCAGGAGAGGGGGCTGAGGCAGCCTACGGAATCTACCAGCCAAACCATCAGTCAAGGCCGGCAGCTAGCATGAGAGGTGGTGGCAGTGGGAAGCAGGGGCGTGCCTCGGTGACCACTTCAGCTGCCAGGCTGTCATCCCATGGGGAGTGACTGTGTGCTCCGGGGGTTACCCAGGTCCCCAGCTATTCCCTTTGAACCTGCTGTACTCCCAACTGAGGAGACCTCACCAGTGAGAAGGAAAAGACCTGTCCTGTCCGCATCTCCCTGAGCTCGGCTTCTGCTGGACTTAGTCCATGGGTAGGAGACCCAGAATGCCCCTGGGATGGAACAATGTCTCTCTGAGCAAAAGCCACAGCTATCCTGAGAAGCTTTATGTACCCATGAAGGTTTGGGGCCAGGGCTCACTTCTACTAATGATGATAATAATAGCCGTATTTGACTAAGAAGCCATTGATTATAAGATGCACCCCAATTTCAGAGATACTGAAATGTGAAAAAAATGTTCATCTTAGAATTAAATATATGATAAATGGACAACTTTTTTAGAGCAATTACTGTGGGCCAAACATAGTGCTAAAAGCATTACATACATTATCTTATATCATTCTCAAAACAGACCTATAAGTTTTACTGTTATCTCCATCTTACAGATCAAGAAATCAAGGCACTGAGAGGCTGTGTCACTTACTCATGTTCACACAGTGAGGGTGGAGCTAAAATCTGAACTCAAAACTAACTCCAGGGCTTCCCTGGTGGTGCAGTGGTTGAGAGTCCGCTTGCCGATGCAGGGGACACGGGTTCGTGCCCCGGTCCGGGAAGATCCCACAGGCCGCGGAGCAGCTGGGCCCGCGAGCCATGGCCGCTGAGCCTGCATGTCTGGAGCCTGTGCTCCGCAACGGGAGAGGCCATAACAGTGAGAGGCCCGCGTACCGCAAAAAAAAACAAAAACAAAAACTCCAAAACCTTATGCATCTATTACTACTCCATGGGGCCATGCCAGAGCTGCTGAGGGACAGGGACCCCACCCAGCCTACACCAGGGACTTATGCTCCACAAGGACAACCTTTCTAGCCCCTAGAACCTAATCTGAAGCATTTTAAGGGCTAGCTTTTGGACTCCAGCCAGCACCACTGGGCTGAGAGAAGCCTCCCTCAGACAGGGGTGGCTGCTGGGGCCGTGCTTCAGCTACCAATCCTGAGCTCTGCTGCCCTGTTTTGAGGACTCCTCTTCCTGAGAGCTGTCCACAGGCTCCGGAGAATGGGGGTTCCCTACATACTTCTCCTGCTTAATAACCCTCATTGGCTTTGTACTCTCTCAGGATCAAGTCCAAATTCCTTGGTACAGCTTACAGAGTCCTCTACAGCCTGACCCTGACAGCTTTTCCAGCTTCACTGAGAGGCACAGCCCCACCCTGAGAGGTCTGAGGAGGCTGTGGACTTGAGGCCTCAGGCCAGCTCCAGGACGTCCTGCCTTAGTGGAAGCTGCTTGGTGCTGTGAGGGTGAGCAGGGGCCAAGGCTAGGAACTCTGTTTGGCCTTGCTAGGACAATGTTTCTGCAGCACCACACACCTAGGACAACCCTGATGGTGGGAAGAACAAAGGATCTGGAGCCAGAAAGACCTAGATCCAAGGCCTAGCTCCTCTGCTTCTAGCTGTGAAACGTGGGATGGACTGCTTAACTTCTGTAAGTCTCAGTTTCCTCATCTGAAAACAGGGATAGTAATCCGTCTCCCCAAGGGTTGTGGGGAGGTTGTGAGGCTTGAATGAGAGTGAGATGATGCTTTAGAAACAATCAGCACGGTGCCGGGCACAGAGCAGGCACTTAGAAAATGCCAGCCCCCAGAGGGGGATGTAGGGCAGGTAAAGAGGCTGGACTGGGCTCTGCCTCTACCACAGAACTGTCCGGTCTCGAGATTCCCCCAGCTCTGCTACCCCCTCATCTGGGTTCCCTAGAGTCTGCTGCCACATCCCCGGGCAACTCTCCACTTCCAAGCAGGAGACAGGGCAAGGAGGTGGGGGAGGCACGTACTGCCACAGAGGTCGCCGAAGATGTAGTAGCACTGCTCAGAGAAGGTGATCTTGTTGACAGTGTGGCGGATGAAGCCGGCCTTCAGCAGGTTGCTGGCGTATTTGCGGGCCTCTCGCCGGTCAGTGAAGCCTTCCACGTTGTGGTACAGCCAGTCCACCACATCCGAGCCTAAGGGCAAGGCTGCCACTTGACTGGGAGGCCCACCTGACCTGGGCTCTTCTGGCCTCACAGAAGCCATGAGGCTAGTGCTGATTCCAGCTCAAAGGAGTGGCCCAAGGGAGTTCTTGGCCCCCCCGCCCCCCGGCCTGCCCTGCCCCACTGCTCTCCACCCTGTCCTTCATCCCACCATGGGGCCCTCTCACCGATGAAAGCATTGGGGATGGTAATCTTGAGCCACATCCTGTCACGGACCTCCAGCCCGGATTCAGGGGAGGCCATGGCTTTTACGATGGCGGCCATGTCACTGTGGATGGACAGGTGGAAGTCGTCTAGGCCTGGGGGTAGGAGGCAGAATGGTGAGGCAGAAAGGGGCTATGGAGCTAGGTACACAGAAGTTTGCATTCCAGCTCTACCACCTAATAGCATGGACCAATGTTGAGCAAATCACCGATTTGTTGGACAGTCAGTTTCCTCTTCCATAAAAATAGGGACTTTAGTATCTATTTCACAGGATATTTAAAGAGAGAATTAAATAGTGTAAATGAAGGGGCTTAGCCCAGTGTATAATGCGTGCTATGATAATAAAAAGGCAGTCATTTACTGAGTGCTTACTTTATGCCACACTGTGACTGATGCTTTACTTGTATCCTCTCATTAAACCCCCAGGAACCTGGTAAAGTGCATATCATTAGTCCCATTTCACGAGAGGAAACTGAGGCTTACTGAGTGCTCAGTACAGGCTCAGAAGCAAACTCTGTTTGGTGAGGGTCAGCATCCACTGAGGAAAACTGCAGAGTAAGGTAGCTGGAATGAACTGAGTCTCCTCCTCTCCAGCCCCCTCTGACCCTCAAGCAAGAGGCTCCAGGTGGGCCTTCAGCAGTCCCTCCCAGCTGGCCCTGTCTGCTGGGCCCAGGGGTCAGGGTTGGACACTCACGCTCTGTGTCAGGGATGGAGCTGGTGATGGAGGAGCTGGTGGAGGTGATGGTGCTCAGGGAGGGGCTCATGCCGTAGGCAGGGAAGGTGCCGGTCATGGCTGCAGTGTGGGAGACCCAGGCCGCGGGGTCAATGGGCCGGATGGGCTCGCCTGCGGGGAGGATGAGGAGTCAGGGGCTGCCTGCCCTGCCTACTGCTTGGCCCAACAGGGTAGGTATGAGGGTTCAGGGTAACACGGAAGGAAGAAGAGATAGGGCTCACATAGGTCAAGCACCAGCTTTAGGGCCAACTGCCCCATCCACTTACTCCTGGGCAGTGTGAAGCACCCACGTGGACTTGGGTCCCAGCACTTGGCTACAGTCAAGGTGATGGGCCTGAAAGCAAGGGTGTCCCTAGTAAGGGCAGGATGTGCGGAGGCCAAACCAAGCCCCTTGCCTGATAGCCAGAAATACCTGCCCCCTCCTCCCCAATGCCATCCATACCCTGGTTTGTGCACGATCTCCCGCAGTACCCGGACTGCGTCGTCATTACTCATGTTCTCAAAGTTGATCTCGTTTACCTGGGAAAGAGGACCAGGAGTGGGATAAGCAGCTGTGCTGGGGAGGTGGGTAGGGAAGCTGAGTTTGGTGGGCCAGGGGGTCTTCCCCTTACCAAGAAGCAGGGTACAGACAGCATGGACATCTCCCCATCCCTATCCATACCACCACCCACGGTGGGCAATAGTACCTGTAACAGCATATCTCCTGGCTCGATGCGTCCATCAGCAGCCACGGCCCCCCCCTTCATGATAGAGCCAATGTAGATGCCTCCGTCACCACGCTCGTTGCTTTGGCCCACAATGGAGATACCCAAGAAGTTATACTTTTCTACAGGGAGTAACAAGACCTTGAGAGAGGAACCAAGTTCCTACCCAAATTCCAAGCCCCATATTAGAAAAGGGTAGAAAGGGACAAGAACTAACACTTATTGGACCTGAGTCAGGCACTGTATTCCACATGCTCAAACATGCTTTCACTTGATCCTCGTTGGCTATGAGGTAGGGACTCAGTCCTGTTTTACAGAGCAGACAACTGAGGTTCAGAGAATTTAAGTGACTTTTCTAAGCCATGAAGTGGCAGAGTCAGGATTCAAACTCAGATTTAAATTCCAAAGTTGGGGCTCTTTTCCCTACATCCAGCTATCTCCTAAAGAAGAGCACCTAGGGTAGAAATCAGAGAGCAAGAATGCAGTGCCTGAAAAATGGGAAGCGGGGAGGAATCAGAAATCACTTCCTCTAGGAAGTCTTCCCGGATGCCATTCTCTGCGTCCATAGCTCTCTGTGCTTATCTCTGTCATAGCCCTGATCATGAGCTACTGAAGTGATCAGTGTATGTACCAATTTATGCTTATGAAAGAGAACTTCTTGAGGGCAGGGAACGTAGCCTGTGCCTCTCTGAACTCCTCGAGTCTGCCCAGCGTCTGGCATGTAGCAGGTGCTCACGAGAGTTGTTTCACCAGACTCACCCATGTTGAGAGTGACCGTGATGATGTTGAGTGACATGGTGGAGTCCGTGATGCTGCTGAAGGACGAGGACTGGAACAGACAGAGGCCCTGAGTAGCAGGCAGTGCTGGCAGGAACTCACTGCTCCCACCTGGCTCCGCCTCAAGGTGAGCCCTCAGCACCACCTCCCCTCTCAGGTTCTAAACCCTGACCCAAGGGGAGGGGGTCTAAGGAAGCACAGACTCTGGCCCTGCCTGGGCAGGAGGGCTCGGTCTGCTCCCACCCACCCTAACATCTCAGCTCCATACCCTCTCAATCCGCGAAACCTTCTGCTTCCGCCGCCGCCGCTTGTGTCTTCTCATCAGGCGTGAGGCGCTGCTCTGCTCTGTGGAGCTGCTGAACCTGTGGGGCCCACAGTCATTCCCCACCGAGCTGGCCCAGCCCTGCCCCATAAGAGGCACCGCAGGGCCCAGGGCCCGCCCAGGGGCCCAGCATCCTCAGGGTTCAGGGCTCCTCCGGGGTCACCTGTCCCACAGTACCCATGAAACCAAAGCCCCACCTGCTGGTGGAGTCATCCTCATCTGAATCAAAGAAGCTGGTGGTTTCCAACTCGCTGCTCATAAGGGTGGATGAGCTGTCATACCCCCCTGGCTCTCGCCGCCGCTCCCCCTTTGCAGTTCCATTTAGCCGGGTTGCTGCAGGAGATGGAGGCAGCTGGGTTCACAGATGCAGGAGAGAAAGAGGAGCGAGGAAGGAGCAGGGGCTGCACTGGGGCCAGGCGTACCCAGAACTCAGGAAGTAGGGCAGAGAGGTGGGTAGCTGAGTGGAAGCTGCGGGGGGGGGGGGGGGGGGGGGGGGGGTGGGGAATGTGTCTGTTCAGGGAAGACGCACTGTGCTCTGGGCCATCCCTCCGTCGTGGCCGCTCTCGCTGGGCAGACACCAAGGAGTCAGTCTCTGTGTCATTGTCCAGGTTCTCCTGGCTGCCCCCACCAGCATGAGGGCTGCAGGGAAGAGAGGACTTGGTGGGGGAGGGGGCAGGCTGGGGGCTCCCTCCCCCAGCCCTGAGCTGAGCTGACGCAGACCTCCCCCATGGGCCCTCCCCACCCTCAGGTCACACTCACTGGAAGGATGGGGGCCGGGAGTCCCCAATGCCTCCTGTGCGCTCCATGGGCGGTGGCAGTTCCGATGGGTTGTCAGCACAGAAGGGAGCTGGCTCTGGGTGTGAGCCCTCAGCCGACACCAGCTGATGGGGAGAAAATGCATGGATAGTAGGGCGCAGGGGCCCCAGGGAAAAGGGGATAGTTGGCTTCTGGCAGGGCATGAGACTTGGGGAGAATGAAGCAAGGGACATGCAGGGAGAAGAAACAGGACTGTGTTAGGTCAGCTGAGATGAGGAATGGACCCACTGCTGGGTTGATGAGGAGGCTGGGAGGCATGGGTTGGTGAAGTGGGATGGGGGCAGAGAACAAGAGTCAGAGGTCCAAGGTAGAGGTCAGCAAGTGACAGAAGGGAATCTGAGGCAAAGTACCTCAGAGGACATAGGAGACGTTTTTGTCTCCAACGTGTATTTCTGTCTCTCTTTTCCCCCTTCTCACCACTCCCTCACTTTTCACCAAAGCTATAGAATCTGGGGTGAGAGTCAGTTCAGTTAGAAAACTCAAGGAATATTCAGATACTGAAGCATAAAACCACAGTCTCAGCAATGCCTTTCCTCCATCCAGCCCACTGCAGGAATGCAGGTGGAGAGGGCTGAGGGGGGCTCCTTACCCAGGACACCACCCGGCCATTGAAGCAGGGCAGCTTGGCATTGTCGTCCGAGATCTCCTCCTTCACCACTCTGCAGGGAAAGGTGGGTGTCAGAGCGAGCTTTCTGAGGTGGAATCGGAGGCATCCTCACAACCCCAACTCTCAGGGGCTCCTCTACCCTAAACTGGGAATCAAACCACCAGCATAAGCCTGTTCAAATGGGAGCAGGGATGGGCTGACCAGGGACAGCTCTTTGTCACCACCAGGAAGACACCAGCCATGCCCAGGCCATCTGCCTTCCTGGGGCATCCTCTTGGTCATCAGGTGATTGCAAATTACACCTGACAAATCACTGTCCCCAATGAGTGCAGTCGCCCCCTAGAATCTCGAGAGCTGTACCCATCCTAACAATGGCTCTCCTGGGCTGGACTTTATCTTTCCCTCTGACCCTAAACTAGGAAAAAGCACACCCGTATCACTGTTCTTCCCTTCTCATTTGGGAATCCTAGTATTCTTCTGGGAGATGTGGATGAGGAATTTAAGGAAATTAGGAAAGAGAAGGGGAGAAGGCATTTACCAAACATCCTCTACTGCCACTATGACATTAGTAACAACTGCTCTCATATATTGAGCATGTATTGGGTTGGCCAAAAAGTGCGTTCGGATTTTTCCGTAACATCTTATGGAAAAACCCCAAGGAACTTTTTGGCCAACCCAATATTATAGGCCAAGCACAAAGCTAAGTACTTTACTTGTATCACTTTGTTTAACATTCATAGTAATGTTATAAAATAGATACAGATGGGGAAACCAAGGCTCAGTAGGTTCAGAAATTTACCTACAGTCACACGATTAATAAGTGAAGAGATGGAATTTGAATCCTGGTCAGCCTGATTCCAAAGCCTTTATTCTTACCTATTATACCATCTTATCTCCCTATAGTTAGAATGTATAATCTTCACATCAGCCTCATTGTATAGACCATATGATCCTGATTTTATTAATAAGGAAACTGAGAAACAATCAGTGACTTGTTCCAAGGTCACAGAGCTAGATGTCAGAGCTGGAATTCCACCCCAAGCTCGTCTGACTCCAAACCCCATATTCTTTCCATGGTATTTCACATTCTTTCCTGTACAGTGAGAGAGGTGATGTGGGTCTGTGTGGAGGGTGACGGTGTGGGAGACAGTGATGTGGGACATGGGGTGGCGGATGCGGGGAGGGTAGGATGTAGTCTCAGGCATGTAGTTTGGCCTGGGGCATGCAGTGAGGCAAGAAGTCAGACCACAACTACAATATGGGGCCAGGAAAGGAGATAGAAAAGCTTGAGGCCTGCACCCCCAGACTGATCAAATACCCCAGGAGCACAGAGCTAGAAAGCTGTGATCAGGGGCAAGAGGAAGACACATGCCTGGAGTTATGAGCAGAGAGGGAAGACAGCAAGGAAGGAGGCTGGGAAGCCCAGTCCTCCCTTTTTCTTAAAGCAGCTCCTGCCCAGAGCTCGGGACGTGCTTGGCTTCTTGTGATGCTCACATTCTTGGACTCACAGCCAAGTTCGAAGGCTGAGACTGCCCTCCTCCCTCCCCTTCAGCTTTGGCTCCTCCACTGTTTCCAACCCCACAGCAACCCCAGGAAAGCAGCTCAAATCATCCTGCTCAGGCCCACCATGGCAGAAAGCCTGGAGACAGAACAAGCTAGAAAACAGGGACACAGAGATAGCTCAGACCCACCAGTCAGTCTGACCACAGGGCACCCCAAGCTCGCAGCCCCCATGGGAACTGGGGCTCAAATTAAAAGGAGGTATGTGGGTCACGTGGCAGGGACTGTGATCTGCTTTGGAGAGGGTCTCAGCAGCCCTGTGGTGGGAAACTGCTGCTGAGGCCCCACCACACAGCTCAGCACTACAGATGTTTCCTCTCTTTCTGGGGGTCACCGACAGGTCACCAAGGCTCTGCTGACTCACAATGATCAGCTGATCTTCGGGAGCCTTGGGGGACCTCAGACAGGCCTCCCCTTCCCGCTGTGGAGCTGAATGGCTCAGGGTTCTGCAGCATTTATGCACTCACATACACACACACACCCCAAGTGGAGTCGGACAAATCTGGGTTCAAATTCCAATTCTGCTACTTATTAGCCCTCCTATCTTAGAGAGGTTTCTTGACTTTTCCAAGCCTTTGTCTCATCCTGGTATGTGAGATTTGTAAGTGCCTGGCATGGTCTAGGCATACACTAAAAACTAGTTACTAACTTTGTCAATGTTTTGTGGGATCCATACTCTCTTTCTAACTAGGTGTAAGTTTCGAAGGGCAGGGGCCAAATAAATCTGCTTATCACTCCTTGTTCATTCAATTAAAAAGCCTTTGCCAAGAGCCCAGTGGGCTTTAAGTTTTGTGCTTGCCATTGCATGGATCTCAAGAAGCATTAGACCTGGAGCCTGTCTTGTCCTTGGAGGTTACTGTCCAATGCATAGTTCACATGAGTATATTGCAAGTGGGAAGTGATCAGAGCTGTAAGAGCAGCAGATGTGTTCACTGGACAGACATCTACTGAGTATTATTTAGTGTTAGGTCCTGGCTAGGAGCTGGGTAGGTATAAGGATAAATAGGAATAAGTGCCATAGCTTTAAAAGTGCAACCCAGAGGAAAGGAGAATTTGGACCTGGAGAAGACAAGGGAAAAGAAGTACTCCAGGTAGAAGGCCCAGAGACAGGCTAGTGTGTGACATGGAGCGGGGAGCAAAACAGTTAGTGGCCTGACTTCCCATGTTATTCCTCCCATGGCTCAAGGCCCCTCAAATGGTGGTACCTTGTTCTTCCATCCACTATCCCCTCAGTGCTGAAAATGTTTAATTCTTCTTCTATATCCCAAATAATTTAAGAGGGCTGGACCTACCCTGAGCTTGACAAATACTTCTGGAGACCAGATGGGAGTTGGGAATCCTCAAGTCTTACACACCAGAACCCCAGAGGGAGAGCCTGGAAAGCTGGAGGAGATGGCAGCCTTCCTCCTCTGACCCACTTTCCCATCTGTCAGCAGAGGTTGCTGGGCCCTGCCAGACCTCCGTCTCAAGGGGCTGGGATAAGGGGCAGCCCTATCACCTATACAGTTTGCCAAGGCTCAGCATCTCCCTCAGAGAGGATGTACCTGTTAAATGATGATGATAATACCTACAATTGTGTGATTAACGCCTTAGACTTTGGAACCAGGTTCCTAATAAGCTCTGCCACTTATTAGCTGTGTGACCTTGGGTAAGTAAATTACTTAAGTGTTCTGTGCTCTAGTTTCCTCATCTATAAACTGGAGATATTACTACCTATTCCACAGGACTGTAAAGAGCATTGAATGACTAAAGATTTGAAAGTCATTTAGATCAGTGTCTGCACACTGTAAGCACCATAAAAAGAGTTTGATAAATAAATGAAATACATATATAAATATATATTCCTTAGTTGTTCGTCCTCTGTGACAAGACAGCCCTACCAGGTCTCCTGATCATTAATCCTTCTAGAAATAAAAACAAAATCAATCTCCTCCACTTCATTTTTACCATAGTTCGCAACCCTGCTAAAATGGCCTACTCTAATATTTTGCAAAAGACGGTTCAAGTTCCAGTACCACTGATGAATGCAAGATGGCTTCAGGTGTATCTGAATGAATGTTTAATTCGAGAGTTAAACATTTATTTTTAACATATTTTAGAAAGAAATATAAATAGAATGTCAGACCTGTGGTTTCATATTATTGACTAGGTCAAACTAAGAAAGCGTGAGTGGGCTGACAGTGGATTTAAAGAACAATATTAAGTCAACAGTGAGCGGATATAATGGGGGTTAGGCCTGGCTTGACAGCAGCCTGGGGAGAGTGGGAGGCAGCCCACAGAGATCTAGGTTTAGGAGGTGGGGGCTAGGCCCAGTGGACTCTGGGATGAGTGGGAGGTGGAGACACAGGTCTAACCCAGTCCCTCAAGGCACCTGACCCCAGGGTGGCCCCAGCGTACTGAAATGCAGCTGATTTTCCCCTATCCCATACGCTGAGGCAGTATCTTGGTCTCTTCTAACTCCATTCTTCCTTTATCAGACCAAGGCATCTGCCCACCTCACTCCCACCCCTTGCAGATGGATCCCTCTTCAGCATCTTCCAATCAGGGGTCTCTGTCTCTGGACTGAAGCCAGACAATCATTACTACACTAGGAGTACCCAACCCCAAGGCAGGAACAACAACAGAAACAAGAATAGAAGCCGCATAGCACTTCCCACTGTACAAAGCACTTTCACACATATGAGCTCTTGGGCTCAACAAACCCTGAGTTCCAAGGGGAAATGTGACAGCAAAACATGCAGAAGACAGAAAAGGTGCTAGCGTCCCAGAGCCAGGAGGGCTGGGGTCCTTGGAGAGAAGCCAGGCTGATGAACACGGGGGAGAAGAATTTCTCCCCTCACTCAGCTCTGGGCCTCTGCTCTAAAGAGCAGCGTAGGCCTCTGGCTAGGCTGGAGAGGCGGCCTTTAGGCCGGGAGGGCCCGGGAAGGCCTTCCCCGCAGGCCTCCAGGCCCAGTGCCCAGTTAGTGAGGGGCAGGCTAGTGTGGGGGGCCTCCCCCTCCCCCAGTCCCCTGGGAGTTGGGGGGGGCGGTGAGGGGATCCACCAGGCTCCCCCTCCCAGGCCAGCTGCTACAGAACCTTCCGGCTCCAACATTCCATCCCCTCTTAAAGGGGAAGTCACTGCTTCCAAAACTCCGCCCGTCCAAAGCCCTGCAGCTGGGTGGATAAGACCCCTCCAGGGAGGGGAGGAGGAACACCAAGAGACCCTTCCTGGCCCTCCCATTAAGAGGCCCCAGTTCTGTGAGGGACTCTGCACCTGGGCTAGTGGGGAATCCTCCTCAGGGGTGAGGTGCTCTGCTCCCTGACAACATCCCCAACAGCCCACAAGGGACAGGGGAGACAGCTAAGTAAACATCAGAGCTGCAGGCCTTAGCTTACAGCCTGAGCACCCCCCAGCCAGTGCAAAGTCCCACAGCATAGCCCTTAGATGCTCCATATTCCAAATATGGCTCTGAGTTGTGGAGCTGAAAAGATGGAGAAGGCGAAGGCCGAGTGCCGAACACCCGAAGTCTCTGCTAGAAAGGTGGCTCTGTTGGCAGGAGGAGGGTTGGGAACTGTGCTCTGGAACGGGTGGAGGGGGGGAAGGTGTGTCTGTGTGGGCTGCTGGTCTCTGAGCAGGTGAGGGGGTTTGACTGCGCTGGAACTGACTGCTCTTAGGGAGTTGGACGTCCCCTTAAACGAGGGGACCAAGGTCCCCCACAAGAGGGGAAAGGAGAGTCCCTAGAGGGGCTGGAACTCCAGCCTCTGAAAAAGCCAGTGGGGACCAAATGGCCGAGTTGCCCCTAGAATCCAGAGTAGGGGTAGAAACCAGTGTAGCAAGGGGAGTCCGAACTGGCCGAGTGGGCCCCTAGAAGCCGGAGGGGCCGGGGTCCCCCGGAGGCGAGGCGGGGCCATCCTCACCCGAAATCGTCGTCCATAGACTTGAAGAAGAACTTATAGCTGGGTCGCTGCAGAACGCCCTTAAAGTCCGCCAAGGTGACGCGCTCGGCGGGCAGGGGCAGCTTCACCAGGTACGGCGTCTCCTGCCCGTCCAGGTGGTAGATGATCTTGGTCTCGCCCATGGCTCCGGCCTCGGGCCCGGCGGCCCGCGCGCTGCCTGCTCGGGCGGCGAGGCCGGGCCTCGTCCGGCGGCGGCGGCGGCGGCGGCGGCGGTCGGCGCGGCCCAGCGGCTCAGCCCAGCTCCGCGGCCGGCCGCGGCGCCAGCTCCCTTGTTCTCCGGCCGCTCCCGGGTCCCAGCGCCGCCTGCCGCCGTCGCGGCCGCCGCTTCCGCTCCCCACTCTCCCGGCTCTGCTGGCGACGGCGACTCTTCCGGTGGCCGCGGCCCTCCCGGCTCTTGGCTGCAGCCCGGTCCACTCCCCGCCCCCGACCCAAGCGCGGCTCCGCCCCGGCGCGGGCCCACCCCCGGCTGCAGCCGAGCCGCGCTGGCCGCGCGGCAGATGGCCTGGCCCTCGGCCGTACCCCGCAGACACCCCGCCCAGCCACCCTGCGGTGCTCAGCTCCTGCGCGCTGGTCCCAGGCCCAGAGGGGAGCGTGGCGGCGGTCGCCTACGCCCCCAAGGATGGAAGGGCAGATCTCTCCAGCCCACGTTCCCGGACTCTTCAAGGCCCTGGCTCTGGACCCAAGGGGGATCGGCTGCTTCTCTGCAGTTGGGGAGGGATGTAATGTAGGGGTCGCTTTGCTTTCTGAGAAGGGACGGGGGGCGCGGTTTTGACCATGTATCGCTGGAGAAAAGGGACCTCGACATGGCCTTTTAGGGTCTGTTGAGAAGCATAGCTGCTATCACTGAGTCTACCAAACAACTCCTTAAGGTCAGAACAAGATCGACTTGATTCCTTCTTATAACTTCAGTACCTAGGTGTAAAGCAGTGGTTTAATAAATGGGTTGAATGCAGAATGAGTACAGGAATGAAGATGCGTGTGAGACTGGGACATGAAGTCTCAAGCCAGAACTGTAACAGGGGAAAGAGTAATATGGGTGGTCAGAGAAGGCCTCTTCCATTTGAGTTAAGACCTAGAACTAATGAGGAAGCAGCTATAAGAAGGTCTGGTCTGGGGGAAGAGCATTCTAGGCAGAGGGCACAGCGAAGTATAAAGGCCCAAGGCAAGAATAAACTTGCCAAATTTGAGGAACAAAAAGAAGGCCATTGTGACTACAATGATAGTGGTAGATGAGGCTGTAGACTGGGACCAGACCACATAGGTCCTTTTAGGCCACAGTAACAAATATGGGCTTCTCCCACTCCATTTTGTATACTGTTGCCAAATTAGCATTTCAAGATGAAGGACCTCTTTCAGACACCTCTTCAACTCAGAAACCTCTCCACATTCCGCAATGCCTTCCAAATATCCTTAGCATGATATTCAAAGCTCTCCATAATCTAACCTCTACCTACCTTTACAGCCTTTTTTTCATTATATCCTGACTAAAGTTTTGACTTAAGCAATTCAACCTACTTGCCAGCCCCTGCACACACCTTGTATATTTTTATTTCATACCTTTCCCTCTACTTTAAAATTTCATCAAAGTAATATGTGTGCATAGACAAATATTAAGAAACCTTACAGCAGTCCTGTCTCATTTCCCTCCCCACCCCCACCCCAGTGTACCTTTTTTTAGCTCATATTATTTCTTGATATATGCATTCTAGACATTACTTATTGATTTCCAATTTTGATTGATGGATTTACCTTTCTTCCACCTCCCCCTCACCTCTTAAAATGATAAGATCACATTTTTTGGTTAAGATAATACAGTACTTATATTACTTATAATATAGTATTGACATTTTGACTATGAATAAATGCTTCCTTTACAACTTCTCCTGGCATAATCATTTTTTAAAAAAATTAATGTTTGGCTCCATTGGGTCTTCGTTGCTCCGCGCGGTCTTTCCCTAGTTGCTGCGAGTTGGGGCTACTCTTCGTTGCAGTGTGTGGGCTTCTCACTGCGGTGGCTTCTCTTGTTGCAGAGCACGGGCTCTAGGCGCATGGGCTTCAGTAGTTGTGACTCGTGGGCTCTAGAGCGCAGGCTCAGTAGTTGCGGCTCACACGCTTAGTTGCTCTGCGGCATGTGGGATCTTCCTGGACCAGGGCTCAAACCCGTGTCCCTGCACTGGCAGGTGGATTCTTAACAACTGCGCCACCAGGAAGTCCCAGCATTAATCATTGCCTTGCTTTTTCATTTTTTTTTTCTATAGTGTACCTATCATTAAATCTTTCCACATACTCTAATAGGTTCTCAATTCATATTTTATTCATTCAGCCCAATGTATTAGATAATCCGTTTTCTTTCCTGGGAGCTTCCATTCCATTGCTCTGGTCTGCACTGCTGGCTGTCTCAGCCTGTGAACAGCTGTCATCCTGGGACTTCTCTGCATCATTCTCAGAACTCCCTTTACCTCTCATCTGTGTTGGATCCCAGTTTCTTGGATACTTTACTCCTTTGTTTAGTAAAGCACATCCTTTGGTAGTTCCCCTTGAAAGCATGGGAAATAAAAACTTGTGGCAGGGGAAGTATAATGGAAAAGAATCTGAAAAAAGTATATATTGATATAAAACTGAATCACTTTGCTGTACACCTGAAACTAACACAGCATTGTAAATCCACTATACTTCAATAAAAAGTTTTGTTTTGAAAAAAACTTTTAAATTTGGGGAGAAACTTGAAAAGATGAAAGTATGATTCTGAGTTGAAAGTAATTTTCCTTCAGAATTCTGAAAGCATCACTCCATTGTCTTCTAGCTTCCAGTGTTGCTATTTAGTGATCAGTTTGATCTCTTTCCTAGGCACTTGTTTTTAACTCTTTGTAAGTCTTTATGAAGTTCTATTTATCCCTGAGGTTCTCAAATTTCTTGGTGATGTGGCCTTGGTGCTCATTCACTGTGCTAGGCATTGGGCGAGCCCTACCCATCTAGAAATTCAACAATATTTTCTTGAATTATTTAATAACATCACTACCATTTTTCCTTTCTTTCTGCAACTCCTGTTAGATGTTGTACCTTCTGGATTGACCCTTTTATCTTTTTCTCCTTCATCATCCATTTCATTTTATTTTCAAATGATTTCACCTTTTTGTAAGATTTTAACATTACTTCCAAACTTTCCCCTATCCAACTGTATAGATAAAATATTCACAATTAAAAATTCAATAAGTACATAAGGATGGACATATAATTTCCCTATTTGGTTCTGTAGTCCTCCAGTTCTCAGTAGGAAAAGAAAATTCATATATTTTTTAATTTCTAAGAGGTCTTTTGTTCTCCAATTCTTTTCATAGCACTTTATTCATAGACACAATATTTTCCCTGAGTTTTGAGAATTATAGCCATTTCCCCCCCTAAAGTTTTCGAAAAGCTCCCTACTTTGTCAGTTTCCTTGGTTTCAATTTTCTGGTTGTTTTGGTCTCCGCCTTTCATAGGTTGGAAGTTTCTTCAAATGTTTGGTGGCCTTTAACAGTCTATTCATATGTAAGAGTGAGATACTAAAAATCTGTTCGGAAGTTCTGTCCATGTACGCAGGCTAACAGGCTTCAGTGTTCAGTGTACGGTGAGCAGAAGATGATGGCTTTTTTTTTTTTTTTGAAACAAAATTCTAAGTATTTGTAGGCCTTTGGTCTGCAATTGTTTAGTTAGTTTTGGCCTGGGGGTATAAGCCAGTGTGTGCTGACATTCAGAGCCCTACCCCTCATATACTTTCATTTAATCCCTCATTTTCAATCTAGCCCCTCAATCCCATCCCCACCACGTCTCCTACCGAATCCAGAGGTTCTAAAGATTTATTTTCCCTGAGGTTCTGAAATTTCGTGGTGTTACTTTGTTCATTATGCTGGGCACTCATGGGCTCTTGTCAGTGTAGACACTCATGACCTTTGGGTTTAGGAAACCTTCACAGATATTTCTCTGAAAATTCCTCCCCACCATTTCTCCAGACTAAATCTCCCATTTCCTGCAGAGGAGAAGTAGGGGTAATCACTTGGTTGGATCAGATAAAGTGGGGACCTGGGGGAGCTTTTTCTCATACAGATCTTTGTCTGATTCTTCTCCATTCCACCCCCAGTTCTCAGGACCCAATCCTTAACCCCTCTGCTGAGCCTTTTCTGGGTTCAGAAGGGCACACTGGTTTGCTTCTTGTTAATAACCACCTCAGCAGGTAGAGCCCATCTCATTCTGCTCTGCTAGGTCAACTTTCACCCTTCCATTTTTTTCCCCAAAATGTTGATGTCTCTCATTCATTGTTGTCACCTTCTGTTTTCCTTATCATTGAGTCACGTGCCTTTTTTGAAGAATTCCTTTGTTACCATTTGAAAGTGGTTTTGGAGTAAAAAGCTCATGAGTTTTTTCTTTTTTTTTTTGGCCGCTCCACAGCACAAGGGATCTAGTTCCCCGACCAGGACCAGGGATCAAACTCGTGCCCCCTGCAGTGGAAGCACGGTGTCTTAACCACTGGACCGCCAGAGAAGTCCCCAAAGCCCATGTGTTTAATCTGCCATATTTAAATGGAAACCCTTTGCTTTGCTCATAATGTTCCCTCTACCCTTTCTATTTTTTAGGCCACTCAAGTGTCACAATCCTGTAAGCCTTCCCTAATCACTGCAACTAAAGGAATATTTTCCTCCTAAAAAGTTCTATAGGCCACTTCTGATCTCTGCCACCCATCAGGTATAAATCAGAGGTACCCTACAGTTGCTTGTATTTAACTGCCCCTACTAGGTCCATGCCATAACCTTCATATGCTCTCTAGTCACTAGGTCCTGTATTTGACAAAGGAGAAACTGAAATTTACTGAATAAGAAAAGTAAATTAAGTCAAACCCTGGCCAGCCTGTTTTTCCCTCTTTAGAAATACTGAGTAATGCCCCTTAATACCCCTTAGTACAGTTCAGTATCCCCTTCCTCATCTTACACCTCTCCACCCAACTGAAATGAAGAAAAGGCAACCATTTTACCTGTGATGTCCAGGAGGGCCACTTGTTACCAAAGACATCTGCTACAGTTTAAGTGTTAACAGAGTAAGGTTTATAGGAAAGCAACAAAGAGCTCAAAAAGGTGAGATAGAAGGGCCTGTCTCATGTTTGAGGTTAAAGGAGACAATATAGGTGACAAATTCCAGCTCTAGAGTCCAATAACAAATCCTTGCTCTATCAATTACCAGTTACAGGACCTCTATGAACTTCAGCCTCTTCATCTGAAAATGGGGATAAGACCTACTTCATAGGGCTGATGTGAAGGTTAACTAAAATAACACATGAAAAGTATTTAGCAAAATGACTGGGGACTTTCCCTGGTGGTCCAGTGGTAACAATGCAGGGGATGCAGGTTTGATCCCTGGTCAGGGAACTAAGATCCCACATGCCTCGGGGTAACTAAGCCTGTGTGCCACAACTACTGAGCCCGTGTTCCTCAAGTAGAGAGCCCACGTGCTCTGGAGCCCGCACCACAACTAGAAAGAGAAGAAACCCACAAGCCACAACTAGAGAGAAGCCCGCACGCCGCAATGAAAGATCCTGCATGCCGCAACTAAGACCCAATGCAGCCAAAAATAAATAAATAAATGTATATAAAAAACAAATGTCTGTCATGCAGTAGATACTCTCTCAATATTAGGGGACAGCCCATTTCACAGGTTCTTCCTGTTCTTAGGATATCCATTGCTGGCTTGGGGTTGTATTTGCCTCTGGGGGCAATTTCCCTTCACTGAGACACTGAATATGCTGAAGGAAAAAGAATTCTGGATTATGAGGCTCAAGTCCTTAGCTTTACTCCTCAAGAGTCATGAGACCCTGAGCAAATTCCCTTATCTATAAGATGAAAAGTAGCCCAGCTTCTCTGACAGTAGTACTGGATCAAATGGACAGAGCATGTGACAGACTGGCAGTGGTTAATGGACTTTACATATGCTTGGCATCATCACCCTCTGACAGAAAAGGGTTCGGACTAGGACTCTCTACAGAACTAGGTTCAGGCACACCACTCCAGGACCACAAATTGGCCCACAAAGTCTGGAAAAGAATCTAGGCCCTCTACCACCATGGCCATGGCAATGGTCAACTAGCGAGGCACCACAGTCCCACCTAGTGGCCATAACACCCCTCTTCTCCCTCTCCACCAGGTGTTAAGAAAGGCTACCACATCAGAGGTTGAGAACTCTTTGTTGACCTCCTTCAACTGCTGATCAGTCAGAGTTGGAGAGAAACCAAATATACCTCTCTGTTTTTTAATATTAACAAATACAAGCAACAGAGAGGGCCAACTGCTCTCTGCTGTTCCCTGAGGGAAACCAGAGCACAAAGCTGTTCCTCTGGCCTTCCTCTAACTGCAGGGCCTGCCTAGCTCCTCCTTAGGCAGAGTTGTCATCCAGCCCAACTTCCCTCATCTCAACTCCCCAGTCATGATGGGAGGCACATGGCTGCTGGCGGTGGGAAGAATACTGTAGCTCCAGCCTCTGCTCCTTTAAGTCTCAGCTCAGATGGTGGTCACTCATCCTTCTGCAACTAGCCTCTCACTTGCCCTGGCCCAGAAACCAGGAGGGCAATCAACCACACCCACAGGAGCAGGTAGTGCGACTTCAGTCATCTTCAGATGACTCCTCTTCTGCCTCTTTTAGCCACTGGATGAACCTCTGCAGCTGTAAGGAAGCAGAGTGGAGAGCTACTGAGGGAGGGGCACATAACCCTCCTTTTCTCCTTAGCAGATAAACAGCTCTAACAACCAGAGTCCCAGGGACCAACCACCTGGAGTCTAAGGCCAGGAGCCAGGGAGCCAGGCAACCACTGCAGTGACAGGAAGGCAGCCTGACTTACCTGCTGGTTCTTGCGCAACTGCCGGCCCTTGTCAGTTGTATCCCTTTGGCTGAACCAGCTCAGGATTGTTTCCTCAGCCAGGATCTCCAGCTGGTAGAAAGCCATCAGTACCTGCAGAAGGCCAGCAGAGGAGATGAGATCTCAGGGGCCTTGCAGGGTTCAGCGAGACATAATGGATAACAGAGGAAGAGGAGGCAAGATCTAGTGCCTCTCTACCAGGCCCTCAGCCTCCTTCTACACACGGAGCAGCCTCCTCCAAAACAGGTAAGAATGAGCTCTTCACTCTGATACTGGGACAGGTTTGACTTCTGGAACTATTGCTGGGTAGTGCTTTGCACATTCCCAGGGTAACCTCCAAATGGTTGCCTTACTAGTTTGGCTCCAAGCTGTACTATCCCAGCAATAAGCACAACACTAGGGGTGGATGAAGCTGTTAACCAAACTCCATACGGATTCATGTCAGTCTATTTTGTGTCTCCACGGAGGTCACCAAGGCCTGTTTCAAAGTAAATGCAGGACTGTGGGGCTTGACGTGGTATTCACCTTGGCCATGGAAGTACTAAGGGCTTCATGCTCCAGGAAGAAGTCCTCAATGGCTGCCAATGCTTCCAAATGATCAGCTGCACGCTTTATGTAGTTCCTAAAAACAGGGCTCCAGGTCTTGAGCAACTGTGGAAGAAAGGAGAAGTTGCAATATATTCCTGAGCATGCACCTACACCTGGACAGCAAAGAAAATCAATATTGATAACATGGGTCTTTCAAGACAAGATGGGGAGTTCCCTGGTAGTCTAGTGGTTAGATTTCGGCACTTTCACTGCCATGGCCCAGGTTCAATCCCTGGCTGGGGAACTGAGATCCAGCAAGTCACATGGCAAGGTCAAAAATTTAAAAATTAAAAAAAAAAAAAAAAGACAAGAGGGAGATGATACAGGTCCTGTGGAATTATGTCAGAGGGACTTGGGAGTGCTGGCAGTCAGGACTGGGGAAAAAGAAATTTCCTAGGGAAGGTGAAGGGGGTCAGATGCTGCAGGCTCCCTCAGAATACCTGTTTCCAGCCTAAAGGTTCACCTCATTCTGGGTCAAATCATTTTCAGTCAGACAATGTGACAGTCCAGGTCTATTCTGGGTATACCTTTGGGGTCTAGTACTGTCTGAATACTGGAATCTCAAAGGCCACTCAGTATTGAACCTAACTTGACTCCCCTGGACCAGCCAAACCTGCTCTAGAGCCTAATCTGTGTCCAGAGGCAAGGAGAAAGGAACCACAAGTAACATATATCTCACAAGACCTTCTACTCCTGATTTCCTTTAAAGTCAAGCCCAGTAAGGATGTATACCTGTCTCCACCCAACCCCTTGTACCCAGCCCCAATCTTTGCTTACGGGAATCAGCAGGGCACAGTAGCGGTTTGGGTCGAGTGGGGAATCCGCGTGTTGCAGGGGGAACTCCAGGACCACATGGCTCAGCACCTGCATCACCTCCTTCAGGCTTATGTTGTAGGCGTACCTGTGGGGAGACTGGGGTGACACCAGGGCCTTCACTGGCCCTTTCAGCATACTGTAGGACTATGACTTTGGCAGGACACTGGGGGAGAGAAAGTCAGATGGAACAACATGGAAAGAGAGGGTTTTGGAAGGAGGAAGTCTATGCTGAGGCAAAAACATAATGTTCTCCTTGCTCCAAATGCTACCGGCCTTGTCCAGTTGGGATGTCGAGGGAACAGGTTCCTATTTGGAGAAGAAGTAGGAGAGAACCTACACCTGCCTTGGATTACCCCGAGGAGATGAGAATAAGGAGGAGCTGCTCTTACTTGAGAGAGTTGATCTCTAGGACTAGATTGTCACAAGAAATGTTCTCCTCCTTGCCCCGCTGTAGAGTTCCCAGGACTTCATTCTGGAACACTAAAATCAAAGCAAGAGTAAGTTCATGGGCCAATATCACTCCAGGATGCTTTAAGTCATCCAGTTCTGACTTTATGCCCAACCAAACTGGAGGCTTTCCTCTTTTGTCCCAGACACTGCTCCCCTGGCCACTTACCTTTGATGTCATCCATCTGTGGGGAGCCTGCCCGGCTATCTAGCTCTTCAGAATCCATACTTCGCTCACTTTCAGTTTCGCTCTCTTCTTCCATGTTGATTTTGAGTCCTGAGAATCCATAAAGGGTGAGAAAAGAGAAAAATACTGAAAGAGCCATTGACAGAGAGCAATATATCCGCTCAGTCTGCATAAATAAAGTAATGAACAAGTAGTCTGATTCTGAAGAGTTCAATTTCCCTCAAAATAATCTGATTTAGAGGGTGGGTGGCAGGAATAAGGCTTAGCTCACCCCACAGATTCTGCTGTAGTTCCTCCTCTTCCTCCATGTTCATGTCTGCTGTTTTCCAGAGGTAGCCCTGGCCTGCAACTCCGACTTCTGCTGGATTGTAACCTGGAAAAGGCACGGATCTTTAGCAAAGGCCCAGTAGAAGCACCAACCCCTTAGGGGGAACCTTGGTTTTTCTATGGGGCAGAGAGACACACAGATAGATGCCCCACACCTGCTGAGCCTCACACCTTTCAGCTTCACCTTCTCCTTTTCTTGGTCAGCCCCAGAATCATCACTGAACTGACCACCCTCCTCATCATCTTCGGCATCGGGAGGGTGCAGAGAGATCACCGAGCCCTCAGGCAGCGTGATGCCTGGGCCTACCACCACCTGGAGGAGAAAAAAGGAGTGGGTGGCACAGGCTGATTAGCGTGTTGGGGAAAAGTACATCCTGAAAATCAGAGTGACTTTTATTTACCAAGCCAAGTAGAAGGTAAATGAAACCACTGGATTGGGACTCTCAATTCAGGGTGGACTGGGTGGACTTAAGGCCCCTTTCTGGCTCAGCATAACCACCACTCAACTTGGGGCCTATGTGCAGTGTCGAACAGGTCTTACCTGGGAAGTGAGGACACAGCGTGGCTTCAGGATAACTTTTTCCTTGACCTCAGCATTGTCACAGAGCACAGACTGACGGATCTGTGCTCCAGCAGCCACTCGGACGCCCTGCCATAGGAAGGCCTCGTCCAGCACCACATTATCACCTGGCTCAGGACAGGAAGGATTCCTGGTCACCCAGGGCCCTAATTCCAGACCAGGGCCGTTTGTGGAGAATGGGGCTGACTGACATCAGCACAGCTCCCACCCAGCTCTGCTACTCCATCCCCAATTCACCAGGAATACCCTCTCCCTAAGCTTGGGCCACAGACGCCTGACTACCCTCCACCAGGTTTACAACAATTACAGACTATATACTGGACTTAAGAACCTGAGAACCCTTAAGATTTCTGGGGGCTCCTTGAGCTCAAGAACCTTATTAGAATTAAATCCATGCCTAAAAGTAGAACCAAATTATTCCACCTCTTCTTGTACATTTTAGAATTAGAATCTTATTGTTGTTCTTTTAAAGGGGTGGTTCCATTACAAGCATCACTTTCTTGTAACCAAAGCAAGTTACTAAGAGTAGAAAGTACACTGGACTTAAAATCAGAACACTCAGATTCAAGTCCCAGCACTGCCTCTTATTAGCTATGACCTTGGGTGAGACAACCTTACAGCTTTTTTGTTTATCTATAAACTTATCTATAAATAATACCTACCTTACAAGGTTTTTAATAATGTATGCAGAAGCCCTTTGTAAACTGCAATGCACTAAACAGATGTTATTATTGCATGTTAATTATCCAGTTGGTCCTGAATGTGAATATAGGGTACCCTGAAATGTGAAGAGTCACCCAATAACAGGCTCACAGGCCACAAATTAAAGTATCACTGTTTTTACATCCCTATTTCTTCCTTTATTAAGGCGGCCACTCTAGTTCCTTATTCTCTGGGACTATCCCTCTGTATCCTTTTCTGGAGACATGGGTTCCCCCAGGTTCCTGCTCCTAGGATGGCCAGCTTGACCTCCCCACCTGTACTCACCAATGTGACAGCCGGGGCCAATGACACTGTTGGTGATGGAGCAATTGCTGCCAATGACAGTGCCAGAACCCAGGAGCACATTTTCCTCCAGTACGCTGCCATGACCCAGGCTGACCTCAGGCCCTCGGTAGATGTTGTGTCGGGAGTGAGTGCAGCTTTGGGTTGTGCTGTCAGTGAAGTTCGCCTCTGGGGTGAGAGGGTAGACCCATCGGCGGATGACATCAGCGCAGATAGCAGCATACATGTGTAGGTTGGAGACCCGGGCACCATATTCCTTAGTTGTCACATGCATGTGGATCTGGTTTCCTAAGATCTGAATGAGGAGAAGAAAAGAGAGGTCACCCAAGCAAGCAAGAGAGAAAGAACATCCCAGGTATAATTCTATTCTAACTTTCTTAAGTTTCCTACTGCCTCTCAATGTCACAGCCAAGTGGCCTGAGACTTTTCTCTGTATACTGCTTCCCTCTCCTCTCCAGCTCTTTTCCTTTCTCCTAAGGTTTAATAAAACATAAAAGGGGACCAAAACTCCCCCAACCCTGCCCAAGGGAAAACAAACTTTCACATTATGTGTAATGGTGGATGTTCATGTTTTTAGCAATTAATCTGTTGATCTTGAGATGTTTTTAGCATGTCACTGGTGGTCAGATGGTATTGGGGATCTGCCAAAAACCACAAATGAATCTTTTGCTTTTGTGTGTCAGTAGGGTCTACTGTGCCCTAAAAATGGGCAGAATAAAAAAGCAAATGGAGAGAGAAAAAAAAGGGGGACCAAATTTATCAGCATTGAGATAAAATCACAGCCTTCTTCTAACGAGGCATTGGGAGCCTTTTCTTACCTCCTCATTTACTAACAGGCCTCGCACAAAGTCATCTCGAGTTTGGTAGTCGAAGTTGTCTGTAAAGAGTTGAGCCACCTGTGTGGGGAAGTCAGAGGGGGCCAAGGTTAAGCACTATTCTCTGGAAGCAAACACAAGCCCCCCAGAGACCTATCAGACACTATGACAGCAGGATATGGGCCAGAATCCCAAAAAAGTCTGCCAATAAGATACTGGGGTCAAGATGATAGCACCTATTTGCTGTAGATAAGAGAATGAAGGAGAAGAAATATACCCTGGCCTTTTAAGGGGGTGATAATAAACCCTCAGAGTTCTACTCTTTAGATGTGCAGCCTTGGCCCTGAGGAGCTCACCTGAGGAGAGCAGATGCTGATATGACAATCAAGTAAATCATAGCGAATCTCCACTCCATCTCCACTGCCCTGGAACAAGCTCTGTGGGGAGAAGTTACAAGGACTTTATTATTACTATTATTTTTTAATAAATTTATTTATTTTCTTTTTGGCTGAGTTGGGTCTTCATTGCTGCGTGCGGGCTTTCTCTTGTGGCGAGCAGGGGCTACTCTTTGTTGCGGTGCACGGGCTTCTCATTGTGGTGGCTTCTCTTGTTGTGGAGCACGGGCTCTAGGTGTGCGGGCTTCAGTAGTTGCAGCGCGTGGGCTCAGTAGTTGTGGCTCACGGGCTCTAGAGCGCAGGCTCAGTAGTTGTGGCTCATGGGCTCTAGAGTGCAGGCTCAGTAGTTGTGGTGCACGGGCTTAGTTGCTCCATGACATGTGGGATCTTCCTGGACCAGGGCTCAAACCCGTGTCCCCTGCATTGGCAGGTGGATTCTTAACCACTGTGCCACCAGGGAAGTCCCTACAAGGACTTTAACTCATCTCTCCTGCTGAAGCCTGTCACTTTCCCACCTCAAGGACCCCAGATACCCACACACCAGAGGAAAAGAAAAACGTCGGAGGCCTTGGGTCTTCTGGAAATGGAGCACCCGGTTTGTGGCACTATCCACAGCCACTACCACATTGTCCTCATGGCAACGAGTTGGGTGGCTGGGGGATGACTCCTTGAAGATCATCGTCATCACAGACACATTTTTTTCCAGCTTCCGCCTTAACCTGTAAACGATAGGAGGGAGAGAGTTGCAAAAAAGCAGTCTTAGGGCTCTGCTGGTCCCAAACCTCATCTCTACCGTTTTCCCATCCTGACCTGTGTTCTTCCAGGGCTCTGGTAATATTGATGTTTGAGATGACATCCCCATACACCAGAAGGAAGTCAGAGCGCACCAAGGCCTTAGCATCAACATCACGGAGAATATCCCCCAGTGATCTATATAGCTCTGATGTAATTATTCGAACCACGTTGAGGGATGTAGGGCGGCACCACTTGGATTTCCTAAAGGAAGGGAGGTGAGGGGGATGAGTAAACCAAGCATAAACATCATGCAGAGCTTCCCTATTTTTTCTCCCCACTCAACATTCACACTCCTTTGCTATGGCTTTTTCTGGGTTCCTGTCAGCATCTTTGACTTCAAAGAGGTTTATGAACTATAATTAATGGTTTCAGCATAGTCTGTCACTAGTCTTGTTTTATGGGTTAGAGAAACATGGCTATTTCCTCTCCATACCCTGACCCCTGTCCCTAAACATGGATTTGAACTAAAAATCCCGCTGAGACTTAGGTTATACAAAGTATCCTGGGAACACACATTTCATGCCACTTTTCTCCTTCTAAACCTCATACCAAATTTAGGAGCTGTTTGATGGAGACCATGCTAACATCCTAGTCCTTATTTCCTAAGCTTCCATAAATCCTGAGATTCACTCTTTTTCAAAAACACTTCGCTAAACATTTGTTAAGTGTTTACTATGTGCGTGGTACTAAGCTAGGCACCAGGAATACAAAAATGAGGAAGAGTCAATATTTAGAAGCTCAGTGGAAAAACAAAGATATTACTCTTGTAACTTGCATATGGGAGCCACTAAATAAAAAGCAAAACCCATTGGGTACACACTTTGTGAGATTCAGAAAAAATCCAAATGCTATTCTTTAATCTTTGTCACGGCTTCAGCTGCTCACCTCCTAAGTGAAGAGAATGCCGTTAGACCTTATGATGGGATCCAAACAGACAAATTTTTCTCCCTCATAATCTCCTCTTATTTAGTTATATCCATCCTAAGGAAACTGGGAAAAAATGGTGAAACATGGAAAGAAAAGTTGCAGAGCCTTACAATAAATGTTCCTTGATTTGGGCAGCCTTCCAGCAACAAAAGACAAAGGTTTCCTGTACACCTGTGGCAGTCAGAAATTCCAGAGTGTAGTCAATTAGCGCCACATTGGCCAGGGGCAAGAGGACCTGAGGGTAGGAGATGAAAAAAAGTCATGAGGGTCCTCTGAGTATCATTCTTTTCCCCATTTCAACCACAATTTTCACTCCTCTATCAGTATTTTCAAACACTAGTTTTTACTTTATCTTTCCTATTTAAAACTAATCAGGCTGCTGCCTTTGATGTTCATGGCATACTCTAAACATCAGAGTCTAATGGGTTGCAATTGGGATATAGTAGGCATGGAATCTACTTGCTTAGCATCAGACACAGAGCTGGTATAGAACAGCAAACTATCCCTGACAAAGGATAATATAGAAATCAATTACATCTCCAGAAGCTTAAGTACCACTAATGCTTTTTTTCCCATAAAATTTCCTTCCTTGATCCCTTTCTAAGAGTCAGGGGCTAGCCATCCCAATCAACTGTACAAAATAAACAGCCATTAGACTATTTACAGGGAGTGGTGAGTCAAAGAGGTTTTTCCTGAACTGAATGCAAGTCCTTTTCTTTGAACTGGGGACTGCTGAATGACCCAGCAATCCCTAGGACTAGCTCAGTCCAGTTCCCCAGTGTCTAGACAATACTGGGGACGCGGGCAACCAGCCACTGAACCTGTTCTGTTCTCCTTTTGACAGATAGCACTAGCTGTCACTAAAACCTGAAAAGAAAAAAAGCACACTATAAGAGATCCAAAACAGCTGGTACTATGGAATCAGACCAGCCTGCTCTTTTTTTAGGCACATGACCTCCCTTTTGGAGGCAAAAGGAGGTGACAGTCCCTTTCACCTAAGGATTTTTCTTTCCTCTACATAAGTGCGGCGCAGCCTCCTCCTGAGGCACTGAATCCCCATGTGAAGGCTTCTCACAAGCACTGCTTCTTCATTAGCCCCTGCAGGCCTCCCAAACCTGAGGTGGACAGCATTACGAGTGCCCAAATCTGCCTGCCACTCAATTGGTCAGGCAATCGTCAGGGCTTTAGACGGTCTCTCCGCCTTCCTCCTAACCAGATAAACCCGATTTCTGGGAAAGACAGTGGACACAAGTCCTTCCAGAGCGCGCCTCACTAGGCAGCCGAAAAGATAACTTGGTCTAGCTCCGCCACCTCCGGACCCTCTGGCAGCTTTCGCGCGCGCCGCTCACCCGAGGCTGGTCCTTGGAGATGGGGAAGAAGCGGCGGTTGAAGCTGTCGGCCACCAGAACTGCTTGTAGGGGCGGCGGCTGTTCCTCCTCCGCCCCTCTGGCTGCTCCACCGCCGCCGCCGCCGCTGCCACCGCCTGCCGGCCCGCTGCCGCTGCGCTTGTTGGGCCGACCGACCACCACACCAGGCGGCGCCACCACAGAGGCCGCCATCTTCTTCTCTCACAGTCACCACTTCCGCTCGGAAACTGACACGGCACGCAGTAGGGGACAAAAAGACCCAGCACTCGAAATGCGAAGCACTAGCAAAGGGAGGACGGGAGGAGCTGAGGAGAAAGGAATGCGCATGCGTCTCCCCTAGCCCTGCCTGAAGGCTGAGCAGCAAGGAGCACGGCCTGGGGCCCTGCGGCGCTGGTGGCCGCATGTTGAGGCGCCCGGGGTTGGGGTCCTGTGGACTGCAGACTCCATCTGCAAGTATTATCGGCTGTCATTTGTTCGTGAGCAAGTTGAGATTCTTGGGGGATAATGAGACACGTGGTCTCTGCGAAGCGGCCAGATCCTTTCTGGATGTGTAATCTTCTCCGCCCCAAGCATGTTAAAAACTGTGGTTCTCCGTCTTCATTCTCATCACCTAATGTGGCCCGGCACCCTGGGGAGCTCAGAACCGAGTCAGACATTCCTTCCCTCAGGGCACTCACAGTCTACATAAATACAGAACGTGGAACAGAAGGGAGAGTAGTAATTCTATTAAGCGCTGATCGTGGCGGGGAATGATACAAGCATTATCGCACTTAGTTCGTCACACGTCTCTGAGAGAACATTTTATCCATTCGTTCAACAAACATTTCTTTTTTTTTTAAAACTTATTTTATTTATGTATTTTTGGCTGCTGTGGGTCTTCGTTACTGCGCGCCGGCTTTCTGTAGTTGTGGAGAGCGGGGGCTTCTTTTGCTGCAGAGCACGGGCTCTAGGCACACGGGCTCCAGTAGTTGTGGCACGTGAGCTCAGTAGTTGTGGCACGTGAGCTCAGTAGTTGTGGCTGGTGAGCCCTAGAGCGCAGGCTCAGTGGTTGTGGCGCACAGGCCCAGCTGTTCTGCGGCATGTGGGATCTTCCCGGGTCAGGGCTCGAACCTGTGTCCCCTGCATTGGCAGGCGGATTCTTAACGACTGTGCCACCAGGGAAGCCCCAACAAACATTTCTTCAAGTCTCAGTGGGGTGAAGTTCACCCAGCTAGTAAGTGGAAGAACTGGTGTTGGAACCCGATCCATATGATGTCATAGCTCCACAATCTTTCTGCCATGTGTGGATAAAAATTTATTATTTTATGATGTCTTCATTTATTCATTAATTCAGCCTATCAGGATTTATTGAAGCTCTACTCTGTGCCTTAATCAAATTGGAAATAAAGGTGGAACCACGAACACTCTAAAGTTGAGTAGGCCTGGAGGATGTAAGCCGCAAGGCCCGAGTCTTGAGAGGCGCGGCACCAGATGGGAAAAGAGGCAGTGGGCTGCAGCGGGTAAGCCAGGCCTACGGAAGTGCGGGACCTTGGGGACGTGGTGGAAGCGAGGTGAGGCAGCTTGGGTGTCCTTAGGTGGACAAGGAACTTGCCAGCAAGGCACCGTGCTCTTCCAGCACGAGAACTGTCGGAGTTCCACCATCGATTCCTCAAAGTTTCTGCAAGCGTCGTTACCACCCACGGCCGCGTTTTATGTCTGGATTCGGAGTTCCAAGGGCTGAGGTTTGTTTCCGTCTGGCGGCTGTGGCTTGGCCCGCGTTACTCAGTCACCCGCCTCGTGGGTCTGAGGAGTCTGTCATTTCTTCCCTCTACCAGTTAATGAGAGTGCTGAGCGAAAACTGTTTCTTCAGAATTTTGGAAAATTTAGCCTGGAGAAGGAAAGGCAGCAGGCAACTCAGTAAAAGTTTTCAATTAAAATGAGTGTACATTGTAGAAGAAGGTGTTCCACTGTCCTACAAATTCACAGGAAGAAAGAGAAAAGATGGGTGAGTAAACAAACAGGACTAGTAATTTGTGCGAGTACACACACGAGGGGGTTGCGTGGGGGTGGGTTGAGGGTATGGGAAATAGGTCCAATTGTAGAAAACTTTAAATGACTCCTGACACCTCTGAAAATGTGAGTGGTAAATCCAGGCCTTGTAATTCTGTAGACAGGTAGCTGGGTGCATAAGGTTTTAATGGATGGGTCTTAAGGAGACTTTCTCGACCTGTTGTTATTTTTTTTATTTTTTATTTTTTGCTTCAAAACGTAACAACAACGAAACAAAAATGGGCAAAGGACTTGAATGGACATTTCTTGAAAGAAGGTATACAAATGGCCAACAAGCACATGAAAGGTGCTTAACATGACTAATCATTAGGTAAGTGCAAATCAAGACTGCAGTGAAATATCATCTCATGCTCATTAGGATGACTGTTATCAAAACAAACAAACCAAACCCCAAACCAAAAACCAGAAAGTAAGAGGCATTAGTGAGGATGTGGAGAAATTGGAATCCTTGTGCACTGTTGGTGGGAATGTAAAATGGTACAGGCACTGTGGGAAACGGTATGGTGGTTCTTTGAAAAATGAAACACAGAATTACTATGTGATCCAGCAATTCTACATCTAGATATATACCCCCAAAAAGTGAAAGTGGGGACTCAAACAGATATTTATACATCCGTGCTCATAGCAACATTATTCATGATAGTTAAAACATGGAAGCAACCCAAGTGTATGAATAGGTAAGCAAAATGTGGTACCCTAGCATATAATCCTCAGAGCTGGGTTCCATTCCAGCTTCTAGTCATTTACTAGCTGTTTATTCTTGGGCAGGTTACACAATCGCTCTATGCCTGGACTTCCTCATGTTTGAAATGGGATAATAACAGTACTTACGTCATAAGGTTGAAAAGCCCTTAGAACACTGTTGACACATTGTCAGTACAACTTAAGTATTAGCTAATATTGTGATGATGCATTTTTGTCTGCAACTTAATTTTTATTTAATATATGGTGGAATGTAGACAAACCTAGCTATTTTCAATGATTCCATAACATTCTGTAGTATGCATATACCATTATTTATCCAACCGTTTCTCAACTGGTAAGCATTCAGATTTTTTTGCAGTTTTTGCTATTACAAATAATGCTGCAACTAGCATCTTCCTATTGATATCTTTATACATTTGCATTTATTTTTTAGAATTTGTTCTTAAAGGAGAGTGACTGGTTCAAATTGAATTCAATTCCCATGGCAGGGGATATGCTGTTGAACTCACTGGGAAACCTGCTGAGACTTAATTGCTCATGGTGTTATATTACTTAATGGCTATCCATGGAAAATGTGCCATTTTGCCCTGACACTGGCAGTGTATGAGAGTGCCTGTTCCCCTACAGCTTCACAAACAGAGTGTGTTGTCAACAGTTTGGACTTTCTGTCAATCTATAGGGGAACGAAGTGTAGTTTTAATTTGTATTTCCCTTTTTTTAAAAAAATAATTTTATTTTATTTTGATTCTTTTCTCTCTTTTTTAAAAAAAATTAATTAATTTATTTTTGGCTGCACTGGGACTTTGTTGTTGCGCGCGGGCTTTCTCTAGTTGTAGAGAGCAGGGGTTACTCTTTGTTGCAGTTGCTTCTCTCATTGCGTTGGCTTCTCTTGTTGCGGAGCACGGGCTCCAGGCATGCGGGCTTCAGTGGTTGTGGTTCGCGGGCTCTAGAGCATAGGCTCAGTAGTTGTGGCACATGGGCTTAGTTGCTCCATGGCATGTGGGATCTTCCTGGACCAGGGCTCGAACCCGTGTCTCCTGCATTGGCAGGTGGATTCTTAACCACTGCACCACAAGGGAAGCCCTGTATTTCTCTTAGTTTGAGTGAGGTTGAACATGTTTTCATATGTTAAAAGACCATTTGGTCAACTGTCAGTTCTGGTTCTTTTTGTAAATTAATATGTTGCCATTAAGGTTTCAAAATGAGTCTTGAATATCACTCAGTCTAGAATGCAAGCTCTGTGAAAATTGGGGCTTTCTGTTTTAGTCACTACTGTATCCCAGGTCTAGAAGAGTACCTGGCACATGGCACGTGCTCAATAAATATTTGCTGAATGAATGAGTGGTTGTTGCCACTCAGTAAGTGAGAATCTCATCAACTTTAGACAAATAAGTAGAAGTAATTTCAGGCTCCTCCAAGCTGAAGCTTATGGTTTTTTTTTTTGCGGTACGCGGGCCTCTCACTGTTGTGGCCTCTCCCGTTGCGGAGCACAGGCTCCGACGCGCAGGCTCAGCATCCATGGCTCATGGGCCCAGACGCTCCGCGGCATGTGGGATCTTCCCGGACCGGGGCACGAACCCGTGTCCCCTGCATCGGCAGGTGGACTCTCAACCACTGCGCCACCAGGGAAGCCCTGTTTTGTTTTTTTAATTGTGGTAAAGTACACATAACATAAAATTTACCATCTTAACCATTTTTAGGTGTACAGTTCAGTGCTATCAAGTACATTCACATTGTTGTGCTACCATCACCACCATCCATCCACAGAACACTTTTCATGTTGCACAACTGAAGCTCTGTATCCATCCAACAATAATTTCCCATTCTCTTCTCCCCTCAACCCTGGCAACCACCATCCTACTATCTGTCTACATGATTTTGACTACTCTAAGTACCCCATATAAGTAGAATCAAACAATATTTGTTCTTTTGTGACTAGTTTACTTCACTTAGCATGGAAGAATGCTAAGTGAAATAATGCTTAGCATGAAATGTCCTCAAGTTTCATCCATGTTGTAGCATACATCAGAATTTCCTTCCTTTTAAAGGCTGAGTCATATTCCACTGTATGTATACACCACATTTTACTCATCCATTCATCTGTTAATGGACACTTGGGTTGCTTCCATGTTTTAGCTATTGTGAATAATTCTGCTCTGAACATGAGTGTATAAATATCTGTTTGAGTCCCTGCTTTCACTTTTTTGGGGGTATATATCCAGAAGTAGAATTGCTGGATTGTATAGTTTAATCTTAAACCACCATACTGTTTTCCAGCACCTGTACCATTTTACGTTCTGGCCTACAGTGCACAAGGGTTCAAATTTCTCCATATCCTCACCAATGCTTGTTATTTTCTTTGAAAAAACTTTTATTTTATAATGTCCATCCTAACCGGTGTGAAGTGGTATCTCACTGCGGTTTTGATTTGCATTTCTCTAATGACTAGTGATGTTGATCATCTTTGCATGCACTTATTGACCATTTGTCTATTTTCTTTTGAGAAATGTCTATTCAAGTCCTTTGCCCTTTTTAAAATCA